TTTTAAACGGTAACTGTAACGGAATACAGTTACTCATATTTTGTATTTTAAATACGTAACGGCGGTACATGTATTCCGTTACTCCCCAACACTAAGTAAAGCTCACCAGGCTGAATCCATCCCAGAGCATTTGCTGCATGTCTTCCCCCTCCTCTCTCTTGCAACTGTGCAAAGTCCATAGCAGATCGTTTTCATAGCCTTAAAGCTAATCAAGGAACCCGCTGTGCATATGTAATGTTTCTCCTTTGTTCAGTGTGTTCTTTAAATCTCCTACAAATAAAATAAAAGAGCTTAAAGCTATAGAACACCAATTGTCAATTGTATTATTTGTGACCTGCAAGGATCCCTGACCCCTGGGAGCTCCTTAACCTTGAGCTATCCATTTCTCATCATGGTAGCTGAGTAAGACAGAATACAGTATATTATATTCATCCTGGTGTTTCTTGTCATTTATTGTGACACTGCCTCATGTTTTTCCACACATCGCCAGTCACACACCTGGTATGTCTCTAGGGGCTTGCTCTCCATGTTGAGATCCCAGACTTTGGCAGTCAGGTAGTCTCTGGTGAGCAGGTATCGACCGCTGTGGCTGAACTTGACGTCCGACACAGAGGAGATAATCTCGGAGAAGAAAGAGCGGGCGCTGGGGTCCTCGGGCTCCTCAAACACTGGCGAGTGGGAGGGAGACAAAAAGGCGAGAGAAGGAGAGGTCAGCGAGTGCCGTTAAGCAAGATGAAAGGCAGAAACACAGTTGGATGTGTGTGCTTTTATCTCGTGTACAGAGATAAATCTCTCAGATGACTCATTATGTTAAGTGTCATTTATGAGACAGAGACCACAGACACGGCTTCTGTATCTTTCTGTAGAGGTGTTGCTGTCTGAATACATCGGTGTATAAACATTAGCAAATGTCAAAGAGCTCTATTAAAGTTCCTCTAAAGACTGAATATGAAAAATAAAATGAAAGATCTAGCTGCTTGCTGAGCACAGCTTGTGCAGGAACACTGCAGCAGTGACTCATGATCAAAGCTGTAAACTGAATGGATGAAGCATTACAACGGGAACAAAAAGTGGGAAACAAAGAAAAGACAGGCAGGAAAGCTTGGCTCACAGTCCCATAAGTATTATTTCTGACCAAAATGTCAATGAACATTTCACTCTTTTAGTCAAATTTTGCAGCCATCAATATATGAGTCCACTAAAGTACCGCAAGCAGTCGAGGAAAGCGTGGCTAAGATTCAGTGACAGGGATTTTTGTAAGGCATACATCAGTTTCCAAACAACAAGCTGACACAATACTGCATGTATGAGACTAGTCGGGATTAACATTTACATTTTTGGTGTATGAACTAAAATGGTTTTGTCGACGTTACCAACAGAAAAGAAAAAGATGAGATTGTTTTATAGCTCAAAGCCAAAAATACAATAAAACATCAGAGCAGACGCCTGCAGAGGCTGTGTACAGTCGTTTGCATGACATCTGTTGTGATGTGAAGAATTTGTGGCCTGAAAAATTCTCATCCACATCACATATTGTGACAGATGCTGCAACCGTCTTCCATGTGGTGACTTGCACAGTGAACTACTGCCGGGATGTTTTGGGAAGTGAGACAGAAAGAAATAGTACGTAACCTTTTACACAATTAATGCGTCATCGGGGAAACCAAACAACCTCAGGCGAAGCGGATGGCACAACACAGAAGAGCTACCTCGTCAG